CGTATAAAAACAGCGGCGTGTAAAAACGACGGTGTGTAATGACGAACGGAACGCGACGGCGATCGCACGATCGCTAACGATCTCGCGCGAGTAAGGTCGAAAGGGTCCGCACTTACGTAAGCGAGATCATGATCGACCGCCTGCTGTCTTTTCCGTCTTGGTTTATTTCGACGATCAAATGACGATCGCTCGTCGGTGAATGTTCATTACATACAATTATCGCAATTTTTTCCAAATAACTCGCAACTTGACGAATATTTACACACACGAGTGAAAATTGGCGATGCGTTTGCGTGAAAAGCGAATAGCCACGCTTGCATCGAACCGCGTGACAAATGATTCCAAGAAAGCATGAAAGCTTTCCCGCTGGCCGTGGCAAGGGAGAGTTTGTTGGTGCGAGGCAATTATAATTAAAAGTGCGCATTGTTCGGCCGGTCCCACGAGAGTCTTCTTCCGGGCGTTTCTCACGATGTACCGCAGACGGTCCTTCATCCGTGATCTACATTCTTCGGAAGATCCGAGTGAAATTACGATTGTTTCGAATTAGAAAAAGTCCGCGTACACATTTCACCGATTGAGAGCGCTGTACGAGCACAAGCTGCGCGTGCAATTGCATTGTACAGGCATCGACACATGCCTTCCATTAAGACTCCGCCGTCTAATTTCATCGCCATGGAGAGAGAAGTGTCCGATACGGAGGGAGTGTTCTCCAGGCGGCTCATCAGCAACTGGGCCGAGCTGCCGATGACGCTGCGACGTCGGCAGAAGCATCGCGCCGACATTCTGAACCAATTCACCGATTACTCCGAGTCCTCGGAGAGCGAGCTGCTGCACAGATTTGAACCAAAGAGCTTTAGCAATGTGCAACGAATCGTACGTCGTTCCGAATTCGCACGCAAATACGATCCCGGAGATCTTGTTGTGAAAAACATCTCGGACCCTCGGAGAGATCCGAGGGAGCGCAAACCGACGCCCGAAAGCCCCTTGAATCGTCTCGAAGATGGCTATTGGAGGAATTATGAAAACCCAGACTCAAAGTTCGCTTGTCGGAAAAAGAGCAGCTTCGCAGGCAAGCAAGAAACGAGGAACTTCTCCGACGAGGATCGCAAGACGAATTCTCCCGACAGTCTTCTCATGAAGTCTTCCGAGTCTGAATTGAGCAGCGATGAGTACGGACACACCGATGATTCCGGAGCATTCTTGGAGCAGGCTTCTCATCTAGATAAGGCGCCCAAGACGAAGAAAAATAGCTTTATCAAGTTTTTCGCAAAAGACAGCTGCAAGGAAAAGAAGAAATTGGACTCCGATCACTTGGATGTAAATAAAAACATTAAACAAGGCCCGGAGCCTTTGAAGAAGGAGTCCTTCGGTCAGAAATTCGAATATGAAAACATTCCTAGGATAAATGTGTGCAAATTGGACCAGAAGTCCTTCCTGCATTCGATCGTGCGAACGAACGCCCGTCAGCTGCCGACGATCGAGCAGCTCAGGATCGAGGAAGGCTGCGAGTTGAGAAACTTGAAGAATGCAACAGCCTTGAAGAACGCTTGGGAGAAGAAGCCGGTTCAGCAGCAGAAGCTGAAGGACGAAGAACCAAAGACGAACAACACGATTCAGGAACTTTGCGACGGTGAGCAGATCATTGCGCGAGCTAACGGTGAACGCAAAATAGCGAAGATGGAGACCATCACCGAAGAGAACGCGGACGGAAGCAAACTGAGCGTCCGGGAAATTTTAAAGAGATTCGAGGAGCTTAGAACGCAGACCGGCGCGACGACAACGTGCAATGATAACGAGATGCAGATAGAAGAGAAGACGAACGATAAAACGCTGAATACCATACAGGAGACCTTGAAGAAACTTGACGAAAAAGTCAAAAGCTATCAGGTCACAATTCTATTCCTTACTTTTCTCATTAAACTGTGTAAGAAAGCTTCGTGATGGGCAATTTCTGACTTTTTCTCGGCATATCCCGTTTGGTAAAATTCACCGTGCGATTTATCTATCGCAAATAAAATGTTGCACGATATTATCATCTATATGTTCAGAAATCTTATCGTTTAAATTCCTTCGAGATAAATTTAATCAAATAAACCGTGTCCATTGATACATAAATATCTCATAATTATGAGACCCACATACAGAAGTGCAAGCAAAGAATCTCAAGCATTCTATTTTCTCATTGCAGCTCCATAATGAATTATGGAATCAAGAACGAGAAAGTTTTCTCCGCATTCATTGAAACAAAACTATATAATTCATATTCAAGAATATTCAGAATATATTCCGAAAAACTTTCGTCTGTTTCATGAATAATTAAATAACTACAAATCTTGATCAACAGTTATCGAGATTCATTTTTGCTAAAAATGTAGGACACAAATTAAATTTATATTTAGATTATATACTTCTACATTTATAAATGCAAGTCTTTTCTATGTATTTTACTAAGCTTTGCAATGATACATGTAAAAACTAATTTATTTTAATATGTAATACAAAAAAATTGACATAACTGCACATATATTTTGACATAATAAATAATATAATAATATTTAATTCTCATTGTTGAAAAATAACTCTGCAATTATTATTGAATAACTACCGGATACATATAAATTTTCAACACCTGTTTTAATGATATGTTTTCAGTTTTTATGTTTTTAATGATATGTTTTTTACTTAAATATAAAGAGAGGAAGCAATTTACTGACTTATTGTTAGCAGCAAAAGAGAAAAATATTTTTCATTTTCTGACAAACTGTGATGCAAGGTCGTCTTGTAAAATAGCTTGATGGACACAGTCCACTTTTGTCATTTGCTGTCCGCACCTGACGCCTCCCTCTATTCACAGCATTCGCACTTCTTTACGTCACAGTTATGTCTCGATAATAACCGCAGCCACCGCGGAAATCGTTAAACCGTTACGCTTGTTATCTGTCGCAATACGGCTACTTGGACGCGTAGCTACCGCATCTAGATCTTACATCGTCGGTGTATTAATGATTATGTGGGTCAGGGTCGACATCTGTTTATCTTGCTTACACCTTCTGGTCGGGACCGACCAGTATCGATGTAACCGGTGTTGCTTTGCATCGAAGCGCGTACCATACCATTTATGTTAACGGAATTACGATTGGCTCTTTTGAACTCTTTTAGCAATGACAGGATCTTGACTTTTATTTTCCTCTATTTATGTAGAGGAAAAGCAGTATGAAATTGCATAATCATTGAATTAAATTAATTATGTGTAAAATGTTTCAAACGCGCAGCATCTTGTTTTACAGTATCGCGAGCAGTTATTTGATTCTTTATCATTTTCTTCATGCTACGGGATATTAATGATTTCATGGTATTATAGTATGTCTGAAAAATAACGGGATTACTTTTTTTGTTTATTGTGTAAGCATCGTCCACTGACAATTAGTGGCTTTAAGCCGTTTTAAAGCTTTATGTTTGTTATTCGAAACGTCACCGATTGTCAATGGATCAAAATTATAAAAAATTAATCCTATTATTTTTCAAACATAATATGTTTATGCATATATTGTATAATTTTCTGGTTTCAATATTTTAAGCTTTAGTCTCTCTTTATTCATTTTGTTCTATTTTGTTACCGCAAAGTAGGACTCCAAATTATTTTTATCGTTTGTTTCCCTTTCTCAATCATGTCCATTATTTATCCAATAATAAGCTTAACAAAATTAAAATTTTAAATGCTTTACAAATTGTTATCAAGATAACATTGAACTTTCTCTTCGGCGTCCGCTTTACTTTCAGTGATATCATCGCGAATCAAGCATATTTGCATAATTACGTATTTAATTAAATCCTTCAACTCGATTTTCAACTGGGCAAACAACTGGAATTAAATATTTCAATACATTTTACGGTAAAGATTTTCAAAAAAATGTTCAAGTGAATTTCTAGGAATTTAATTCTATATTTCACCCGGTACTTGTAGCGTCAAAGTTGTTATCAAATATTAGCCATCCAGTTTCATCTTTGATTACCTTTTACATTATCATGAAAGCGCTCGCTTCAGTATTAATTTTCTTCTAAGCGTGAATTGATAGGAGCAACTCTATCTGCTGATTGTAATGCTGTGAAACCATTTCTCACATCTGTCAGAGCGAGTATAATCGATCCATCTTTTCTATCCGCGAGAAAAAAGGAAATCAGTAGCACGCAAAGCATCAGATTTCTAACAGCTATCAAAGAAGCCGTCATCGTCTCGTACATCAGGATATTAAGAAATGCAGGATGTAATCACCTACTTTCCGTCATAAATTCGCGTAATCGACGAAAGCAGAGCAGCTCGAAGGAGTGTCTCGTCTGTACCGCGATTCTCGCTTACTTTTATTAAAGTGTCGATATCCGGCCAGCGTGGCGCTCAAGAAATCGCGTGTAGTTCAGAAGCCGCCGCTAATTTACGCATCACGCGCTTTTTTCCTTTTCGTTTTTTTACGGCGAACCTTGAAAAGAAAACGCCAGCAACACCCGACGGTCCTATCGTGCCGCAAGTCTGCACCAGACTTGTGATACTCAACGAGCGGAGGGAAACCCGTTTGCTCGCGTGTTAAGTTCCATGTTTTGGACCTTAGCATCGATGCTAAGTAAGAAAAAGGAGGAACTGTAAGCGGCACGGAAATAGAGAAATAAAGAAGCGCGTGGAAAATGGATTCGCTCACTAGCTCATAAGTAACATCACTTTTTCGTAATGCTCGTACAGCTCAAGCAATGCAAGGCGGCGAATTATGAAATAATAATTTGACATTGAATATATGTATATATTATAAATATATATAATATAACGAGCGATAAATATAAAAAAGACAGCAGTGTTTTTTTTAGAAATAAAAATTTAAATTACTCGCAAGACAAGTATGTAAAAAAAGCATTATCGAAATAATTACAAATGTTTTGAATGATCTCAGGAATCTGTCATTAACGAGTGTTACGGTAATTAGCAAATTGTGAATTGTTTGTTTAATTTGCAGATCGATCAAAAGCCACACCAGAAAGTCAATCATCACGAAAATCACGTGTCGCAAATCACGAAGACGATTCAGGCGCAGGCGAACCACTCGAATCACATCCAACTGCACAATCATTCCAATCACGTAATCTCCGAGCACGAGAATCACGTATCGATCGGTCGCGTGCCCAACCACGTGTCGGTTAACCATCAGACCCATCAGAAGAACCTGCAAAACCAGCGATTGAGCCCGGAATGGCGACAGCCGGATGACAACGTCCGCGTCCAAGAAGATAGCATCTACGAGACCGGACCGGTAGTGAATGATGGCAAACATTCCTTGTTGCAATATGCCATGTTGAACTTCCGTCAAAGCACAGAAAAGTGAGTCAATATTTTTGAAATGATATTAATTTATAAAATAGTAAAAATAATCGAATCGAAAGAACGGGGATATTTTGAGACGGATTGCAGCAGTAAGAAAAAAATTTTAAACTTTATTTTAATCTTCATTTAAAAGCTATGAAATATATTATTATACTTTAATTTGATAATAAAAATAATAATATATTAATATTAAATAATATTATATAGTTCTGAAAATTATGACTATTTGCCACAGTTATTTTTACAATTGAAAATGTTTTAGAAAATTAAATTTTTAACAAGATGTCCAATATTGAATACCAAAAAAATTGAGAAAGAGACTAATTGTAAAAAGCGACTAATTAAAACGAGATCCTTTCTAAATTCCGGTTGGCACCAGAAGCACGCGCTTGAACTCGTTGACTGTATGAAAATTAATGCGAAGCAACTATTTAATGGTGTTACGCAAGTAAGAGTCGTGTTGAGAAAGCATAACGATGCAAGATATCGATTCTACATGCACCACGGTGTCCTTTTCCCGTATATATCGTTTCTCGCTCCGTGCTCGCGTTAAGGACGACAGTCGACTTACCGCGCGTGATACAAGCGAAGGTGAAGATTAACGAAAACGTGCGCGTCCGACAGATTCGAGATGTTGAAGACCGCAGATGGATCGATCAGCGGGTCTCTTAAGGTGATCGAATCGCTGAAGAGCAAAAAGAAGAACAAAAAGGGCAAAGGCCAGCAGGATGGCACCGAATGGACCTGGAAGGAGCAGGTGGATCTCGTCAAGTACTCCACCATTCCCATCGAGCAGAGTCTGCTCAGGTTGGACACAGACTTGAGTGTTTTAGCAGTGGAATGCTTCCTGTGTCTAATGAGGTACATGGGAGACCAGCCATTGCCGCCTGAAACCAGTGAAGTCAAATGCGTCTACACCATTCTTATGGTAGGATTAGCAAAAGAAAAATTTTCTTACTTTCTACTAGGAATGTAACAATCTATATTTTTCATTAAATTATTTTAATGTATTCAGTAAAAATAATTATATTTGAGTATAAGTATTATATATAATTAAAAATGTTAATTTGTTATTATAATTTATAATATTGAACGAGATGAGATTAATCAAAATTCACATTAAAATATCGAGAAGATGAACAATTTTCCTAATTAATTTATTGAATAATTTGAGGATCGTAAAGGGCCGACAATTTTAAATAAATTAATTATCATTTTCAATTCTATTTAACTTTGTTAATTAAAATGGGTGTCATTCTTCAGAAATTTGAAATGTGGAAAAAGTGAATTATAATTAAAGGTAATAAAATTAAAATCATATTACGTTCATTATCGCTTGTTTTATCTTTATCTATTCGATTAATAGTGTAATACGGTTTTCTTTTTCTTTCCACTGAATTCTAACGTCTTCACTGATTCTAACGTCTTCAATAAAACTATCTTCGCGTATTTACAGCATTGTCACAAGCACGAACAGCTCCGCGATGAGATTTATTGCCAGTTAATGAAGCAAACTACCAATAACAAGAGCCCAAATCCGGAGAGCTGTCAGCGGGGCTGGCGGATCTTCAGCATCATCGCCGCCTATTTCACATGCAGCGAGGGTTTGAGACCTTACTTGATGAAGTACCTCGAAACGGCAGCGTACGACAAGCGTCGCGCGTATCACGGCACCGCGATGGTCTGTCTGCAAAACCTCAGGAAGACCGTGAAGTACGGCGGACGTAAAAATGTGCCCAGTGTCGAGGAGATCATGGCGATCAGCGCGGGCAGGAACGCGAAGAGGCAGATCTACCGATTACCGGGCGGCACCGAGAGGGTCATTAACACGAAATGCACAACCGTCGTGCAAGACGTTATTGAAGAAATGTGCAACGTCATCTCCGTGAGAAATCCCCACGAGATGGACGAGTTCTCGTTATATTGCATCGTCGACGGTGACGCGTTCACCATGCCATTGGCCAGAGACGAATATGTCCTGGACGTGACCACGGAGCTTCAGAAAAACCATCAAGTGTTCTATTTAATATTTTGCAGGTATATATTTTATATGTACAGTGCTATATTATAATCTTGAAAGGATTAAATATCTTTTTGACAATTTTTAATACAACTTTTTCGCACTAAATTTTAAATACAAATCACAGAACTTCTTTCAAATCAAAAGACTTCCCGCTATATTTACGAAGAACTATTGTCTTTGCAAGATAAAATCGTTAATATTCAGTGCAAATATTAATTTTCTGAAAAATAAATTCAATTTAAAAGATAAAGTAGAGGAGAACATGTGACTCCGATCTTGTAAATTAATATGATACTGTTCAAATAATAATTTTTAGGCCAATGATCTTATAATCGATACACACGTTTCTAATTAAGAAAAAAATATACATATATATTTTCTGTAATATTTTTGTTCATTTTTTCTAGATCCGTTTGGTACTATCCTCTGCGGTTGGATGCAGCGTTATATATAGAAGTCGTATTTAATCAAATTGCTCCTGATTATCTGGAAGGGCTTTTATTAGTTCTACCTGGAGAACATCTACCTCAGGAAATAATTGTAAGTAACGTCTGTCTAACATCTGCCGGAAAAAATTTCACTGGAGCGATAAATGATTAATTAATGACGGGCACATTTTGCAGTATGACATGGCACAAATAGCGGCTCTGCTGCATAGAGCAGCCGACATGGCGCACGAACCGGCAACAAAAGAGATTAAATACTTATTGCCAAAACCAGCGCTTAGCTTGAGGGATCCTAGACCACAACAATGGTCCAACATGGTCCTGCAAGCCTGGAATAATGTTCAACACTCCTCCGCGGCCGTTTGCAAGGCGCAAGTGCTTGGTGAGTTTAATTAAAGCGATTTGAGTGTAAGATTTTTAATTGCATTGAATCGGCTCTTAACTTATTTTTGCAACAAATAATGTTATAATAATTTAAGAGCTTGATCAATCCACGCGTTACAAAGCCATGGAAAATTCGAAACTCAAATAGTCGGCTCGCATGTGCTAGATGGAGAGAGCTGTTTCTGTGTTTTTTGAAAGCTTATTTTAATATTTACAAGCAAAAAGACTTGAGCGATAAACGCTTAAAAAACTGTCGTGAAAAAAAAGATTAATATACATTTTCTTGTTTTTTTCTTTTTTTTTCTTTTTTTAGAAATATTGTCCAAGTGGCCGCTTTTGGATCAAGTTCTTTGCGGTAAAGCGAGTACCCGAAGGCAAGGAAAAGGGCGCCGATCACATTCTTGCTCTCAATCGACATGGAGTGCACTTTATAGATCTAATCACACATGTAAGTGGCACCATTTCGTAAACGCTCGTCTTTTCTCTCGTGGTAGCGTTTCTCTTTTTCCACGTATCATTGTTTCGTTTTCTTCTAGGAAACGCTGTATCATTATCCCTATTCTGAAGTGATTTCCACCCGGAAGGTCAAATCTGAAGAGGGCACACTCTATCTTGATATGAAGTGTGGCAATCTGATGCAGCAGCGTATCACCAGGCTACAGACGGAGCAGGCACACGAAATTTCACGCCTAATCAGACAGTATATTACCATGGAGCAGCGGGCGTCCAATACTCAAGGCGCCAGCATCGGTCTCGGCATGAGATAAGCTCATTCATCACGCGACACGCTCCCTTTGCGACTGATATTCGATCCAGATTAGTCAATCTATAAAATCGTAACTAAGTTAAGCTATCGATTATGTATTATACATAAAAAAATCTTCGAGTTTAACAGGTGAAGACCGCCTAAATAGCTTATATTTCATATGGTACCGCTTTTAATGTGACTTACATAAGGTACCAACTTTAATGTTTAAGCTACATGGGGTACCAAGTGGGATAGTAGGTCCGTTCCGACGCAGTGGCCCGGGCCTCAACGGATTGTACTAATTTGTCGTCAGGAATATCCGTAGGACTCACTGAGAAAGAAAAGATCGTGAGAAAATGACGGATGCTCAAATATCTAAGCCGTCCATTCGAATGCAACGATGGACTTGTATAGCGTTTATTTATATTAAAAAATTTTATAAAGACAAACAAGCAAATAAAAATAGAGATTACATCCATCGTGGCAGTGTAACGCCAATATTAACAACGTCGAGAGAATGACTGTTGAAGAAAAAAAACTAACCATACAATGATCATATATTATCAGAAAAATTATTAATAATAATTGTACGTATGCATATAGATGTACGATGTGAACAAAGATTATTAACTTTATATTGAAATTTGTACGTGTATGATATATTCTTGCTTTTACCTCGCTTTATTCCAACTATCATAGGTTTGCAAAGTAAAAAACTTCTAGAGGCGACAGGCACAAATTGTTATGCTGAAAAACTCATATATTAAACTCCGAAATCATTGCAAACCTGTGATAGTTATCCTTTTACTTATTTCGCTTTTTGCTACTATTTATACAACTATTATTTAAGTATAAATGTTACTTGTGGCACCTCGTATATTTCATACACAATAATTAAATCAAAATTCTTCTCTACTTTTTTTACGTAGAATCATTTCTATTCGATATAATTTTAATTTATGGAAATATTCTTTTTCTCAAAAGTTTAGCTTCTCCTACAATTAACCATATTTTTTTAGCGCATTGTTAAAATTATTATTTAAGAAGTTAAATTTTTATTGCATACAAAAATCCCACAAAAAATATTAACGAATTAATGATTCTTATATTTTGATCGCTTTAATCCTTTCGTGGCTAAATTTGTGAATATCATAAATACTAATAGAAGAATATATATGATATTTACAAAATTAATATGAAAAAGCTTTGAGAGAGAAAACTAATTATTTTTACACGTAAAATTTTTTTTTTTACTAAACTAAAACTTGCCAATAAACTTGTGATTAAAAAATAGGATCAAAAGTGCTCGTTGATCATGAAAGGGTTAAATTCTGCTATGATCGGAGCTAAGTCTCGACTTCAGTTCCTGCGGCCAATTACTTGCGGTATGTCGAACGTATCCTGGATCGTTTGGCGATGACGGTGCAGTTTGCGTCCCGGTGGTTTTCAGTACGCCGAGGTATTCCTCCAGCATCTCGATCTCGTCCTTAGTTCGCTCCCGTCCTCTGTATCGATACTCTTTAGGCGGAGGAGGCATGTTGAAGGACGGATCGCGCTGATAACTCTTTAGAATCCCGGATGACGAACCACGCATCCTGATCGGCACGTTGTCGTATTGGCTGTTGTCCGAATATCTGTTCGCGTTCAAATGAAATTATATTTAAGAATCGGTGCTATATGCATCAAGCATCTTGAATCATAGCATCAGAAATGAGAAAATTACACGAGTAATTTTCGCAATTCATATCCGCACTAGTGACTCTTAATTTAAAAAAATAGATCTTAAATCTAAGTAATCATATTTTTAATTTCTATATTGAACTAATTGTCGAATATTGAAAAAAACGAAACAAACAGATATGGAACACAATCATCTTTTACAATTTTTATACAAAAAAAATTGTATGTTAAAAATTAACTTTTCTAAGAATTTAATATCGATAAATTAGAATACTTTTAATAGAAAAAAAATCAATATTTTTTTGTTGCCGATGGCAAAATCCAAGATAGTTGACGTAAATATTGCCGATGCTTAAATGAAATTTCCGAGCCGAAAACGCGACGAATTCCAATTCCAATCTGGAGGCAACAAATCACCTGTAGTTGTCGAGCGCCTCTTCGACATCCCGCTCGACTCTCATAATCTTCACACTCGGATTGACGATTTTCGCGAACATTGGATCTCCTTTTTCGTATTCCATTGGAAACCGCGGCGTGTCGATCTCGTCGATCGGTCGCTGATAAATGTCTCGACTCTTGTACATTATTCTGGATTCTTCGATCCTGCGATCGGGATCGTGTGCGCTAGATCGCGGCGTCTCCACCTCTCGATACCGCTGCGAATCACGCAGAGCTCGGCCGTTCTCAAAATTCTGCGTGTGTTCTCTTGGCTCCTGATCGCCACGACGTTCGCGATCGTCCCTAGAGTCTTGCGAACGAGTTCTAGGTGATTCCTCGCGCGATATCACGGGATCAGAGCGATGATTATCTGTCTTCTGAAAAGCATCGTTCACACGACCGTTCTCTTCCTCGGGGATTTTCACGACGGCCGATTTCGGTTTCGATTTTGTGTTCTCGGCGCTTACTACTGGCGTTATCTGCCGCTTTCCTAATGTTTCAATATATTTTTTTAGATAAATATATTTATTAATAATTTATGACTAAATAATATACATAAATGAGTGCAGAAAAATATAATAGATTGTAAATTTATTAACTCTATTAACTTTTGGTTAGAATTTCTTTATATTTTTTTTACTCGTCCAGTTTGAACGAATCAAATGTTCTTTCAAAATTTAATATTTAATATTTATGCCTAAATCATTTTACCTAAATCTTTTTCAATGATCCGCGCCTCTTCTTGCTTGTCCTTCCTGCGAGGCGGTCTCATTAGTAAATCCACGACGAATACTAATGCCGTGAGCAAGCACAGCGTTCCTAAAACCGCGGCATTGTCGATCAAGTCCTCAGGAACACTGTCGATAGACGCCAACGACAAGGCGCCGACTATTCCGAAGAGGATCACACCCAGTCCGAGTAGGAAAAATTCCTGTATTACAATAGCACTTGGTAATACTTCATCCGTTACATCGTATCGTACATTGATGCGATTTATTTACGCTTTGCAGAACCGATTGATTATGCATGGAAACTTATTATGCAACTTTAGGTAGAGCAAGTCCTTGTAGCAAATGCGAATCGATATTACATGCGTTCAGGGTCACGACACGATGATTATATTGAGACCAAGTATGTGTTATTCTTTTTTTTAAACACCTAGTATATGTTCTGAGAAGACACTGACATAGGAATACAGGAAATCCAGTTATGCAGCCCAGCCTCAGTCATGAGTCATTAAATGAGCAACATTACGTGTCTCAATTGACCAAGGCTGCGATTACGTACACGACGATACGTGCAAGCAGCTAGCAGCTTAAGAATATTCATATCCTTGGCCCTTCAATGACACCTTCGCGTCGCGCTACCGATTTTCTCACGCCACTACAATCTCGCCGAGGTTTATACGAAGTGTATTTTCACTTGTGACACCAACCTCGGAATAAATTAAGAATGCCTGGGAAGAATCTCGATATGTTGAAATAAGTCCAACTCCTGCCATCGTATCGATCTGTGTTACGTAAAAGTTCTAATGGACTTCTTGCACAGCAAGAAAAAAACGTTACTGATAAGGTGATTCTGTATGATTATCGCGTAAAGAGCAATAGAGAAAAAATCTTTCCACTCTTCTTGTTTATTAATAAATATTAAACTAGATTGGTGTGAAAATCTTGTTTCCAGAAGAGCCTTTCGACTTTCTTTTTTTCCTACGAGACAGGAATTTTTGTTTATAACAATAAGACAAAATAGATGGCATTGCCCATCCTGCAAGAGACAGGAATGTAATATAAGCTCGAAAAATATTATACTAAAAATATTGTTTAATTATACGAAGCGTTATTAATTAATGTCTTGTAAAATTTTTGCTTTGAAATTTTCTAACTTTTTAATAATTTAATAAATTATTCGAATAGCTCTAGATTTTTTAATTAGCATATTTAAATATTAAGAATTAAAAATATCTAATAGAAAATATAAGACATTAAGGTCTTAATCTTACACTTTTGATTTCAAACTTTTTAATTTTTTGACTGACCAATAAATTATTTGGATCTTTTTACAATTTCAATTTGCAAATTTTTAAAAAATAGCTAACCGGAAATGCAATGATGTCGACGCATTGTTACTCTTCTAATCTCTCCGCATTAGAGTCAAGAAATTATTATAGGTAATAGTTGTAGAATTTTTCCTACCGCGCATGCTACCGCGGTTCCAGTTGACGTATTGGCGGTGTTACGAAACACACAGGTACGACGCATGAGAAAAAGAAAGCAATTACCGTCTTTCGGCCGCGAAGTTCCCCGGTGGCCGCGGCGATCAAAAGACCCGTCGTTACAATGATGTATCCACCGCAAGTCGCTGTTGCGAGAGCAGCGCCTAAATTCGCAGAAATCAGGAAATGAGTAGTACGAATAGTACGAGTCGATTATAGGCACAGTCAGGTGTCAAAGTCAAAATGTGAATCACCTATGCTGCCCCATGTCACGTTGTGCAACAGCGACCACTCCCTGCTGCGATTTCTCAGGTAATGAAATACCCTTCGACTCTCATCGTCTGTTACTCGAAGCGCCACGACGCAAGCGATGCATAGGAGCTGCAATTCGATAATTACATGCTTAATTTCCTTATCACGCAATGCTGGAGCTTATAGTTTGTAACATCATAAGTAACATCAAGAGCTTCGAGCCGATATTTACATGTTTGATGTCCGAGATATCATAAATACATGGAAAAGTATCTTATTCTAATTGTTGTCTTTCTATGTCAAATTTTCAAATATTATGATAAAGATCCTAGCGCTTTCATATGATATCATATGCATTAACTTTTGTATTCAAGTGTAATCTACAATTTAAAATAAAAGAATAGATTAAAAATTTGTTTATCACGTACCACTTCAATTATTCTGATGAATACTTTGCGGTTCCACATGATGCAAACTAAGTATGCGATGCCAAGCGACTAAAGAAACGGGAAACAAGCAGCAGTTTGCGAAAGTGTCGTCTCTTTTCGGCGAAGCATTACACAATTTCTCAAGCTATTAACAAACTGTTCTCATTTACCTTTCAAACACCACTATTCTTGCATTAGTAATTACTTTTTGTCGCGTTCACAAAGATATCCGGTCGACGATAAATAATAGTTATATCCGCATCACACGAAAAAAGCAAAAATTTTTACAACAAAAGTTCTTATCTCATAAAGCAATATAAATTATTTTGAAAATTTTTTTATGAAAAACTTGCAATAATAATAGTAATAAAAATATTAGAACATAAAAACAATAATTTTTAACTTTGTCCGAAAACACACTACATGTTTAAAGTATTTTTACTAAATGTATTGTTTCCATTAATTTGCGAATATTTATATAGAAATTGACAAAATTGTTGACAAAAAGAATTAATTTAAACTATATTTTTGTATGTGAAATCAATGTTTTAATAATGTTTTAATAAGTCATATCATATAAAAAAAATTATTTTGTAACAAAATTAATTTGAATACGATAGAATCAATCTATTTTGTACCAGAAGAAAACAATTTCCTAAAAATACTTACGAATTAATTGTCGATACTGTACTTAAAATACACAAACAGAGCACATATTTTTCTTGAAATTATTCATTGCAATTGTTTATTGTTAAGTAGTAAGTACTTTTTATATTTTTTTAAAATAAACGCTTAATTTACATCGCCTCGAATAGACTCGATGATTTAAACACTTTACTGACTGCTTGATAACGAAAATCAGTATGTTATCAGTTGCAGTCGCACAACTGAACGATACTTATTACAAAACGAAGCTTCTCGTCACGACGCGTACAAACGACGACTGAAGAAATATTACGAAGGTGGAGTTACCGGGTTGGCGGCACCGTGTGTCATGTAATAAGGAGGACTGTCTGCATGCGACCAGTAAATAACAATGCTATTATCACACGGTGCAATGGCGCAGGACGATGCGAAACTATGAATATATGTCACGGAGAAGCTCGTCGCACACCTCGTACCTTGAACCCGTTCGCAACACGTTAAATCTCGTTAACGTCTTTCAGTTCTTGACGCTCTATCGAGAATGTCTCAAGAAAAAGAAAGCAACTTAAATATTATAATAATTTCTCGATTAATTTTATGAGAAATTAATTTCTATAGAATTTTTATTTATATCCGCAAATACAAAACTTTTTAAACTTTATATAAATACTGCCAATAAATATAAATCCGAGGTTGCAAACCAAATGATAAAATATCTGATCTCTATAAAAGTAAACAAGAATATGCGAAACAGTTATAAAATAAGAATATTAAGAATTTCTTATGAATTTTATATATTGTAGAGCAGAATTGAAATTCAGTTGGAATTTTTCGTCGATTTTTTATGAGTGTAATAAAAGTATAACATTGTTTTAACACGAAAATTGGCCATCACGACACATCAAATAAATAAGTACGAGTCTTAAAAATATTCAAGTCTCAATAAAATCTGACGTCCTTTCAAACGCGATCACGAGTCACACGAATAAATAAATATAAATAAATAATATACTCTAACATAAACGTGTCATCATCTATGTAAATAAAACTGAAAGCGAAAAACATATTTATATCAAAACTATCTAACGAATAAGCATTCTCTTTATTTAAATTTTCTTACATCATCGACCTTATTCCAATATAAAAAATAGATATGCAAATTTTTATAAATAAAAGGATAAAGAAATTTGTGAGTTTCAACGTTTAGAATAGCATCTTATTGCTAAAATTTAGAATTTCAATTTGAAGGATAAATTTTTCCCAAAAGAAACACAGGAGCTATCTCATATAACATAGTGCTACTTAAAAACTTTCATGTATAGCGCTCGATAAGATCAATTGTTTGTCGCGCGGCGGCATATATTAAAAGAAAAGAAAAAAAAAAAAAAAAAAAGAATAAATCTTGCCGCGCGATGGACAGATGAAAAGCGTGCCGACAGCCGTCACTCGTTCCATCTGAAATCAAGGAAAAAGAAATGCCGCGTGTGGTTAGAGAGAGAGAAGCAAAGAAAGACCTATCCCTTCCACGCTAAACTATCCGCCAATCCTGGTACATTCAAATTTATCGTCCTTCCATGAGCACACAATCCGGTTGTTCTCTTTGCTGGCAGGATCTTCGCGTCGTAGTTCTTCATGTCGCTCTAATGAATCCATTACAAAGATACGTTTCAACATAAAAAGATACATTATGCATATATTTGTGTTTATACATATTAAGTGTTTATAAATATATTACGCGTTTAATGTATATGTGCTTATAAATGCATGTGTATTACTTTTGTATCCATAACTACGTAAGGTTGTTCTGAATCAGATGGTATTGATTGTTGATCGAGATTGTGTATCGAAATGGAAAGTAATAAATCAAAGGAGAACCACAAAGCAAGTCGAAGGAGAAGCAAGAAAGAGGAAAAGCGCGAGGCAGAAAAGTTGAACTCGAAGAGCGAGGAATCTATATTGTGGCCGTATTATTCCGTTACCGGTGCGGAAAACACGATGAATATCATGCAGCAGGAGACGTCATCAAATCTGAACAATTTGGACAATGGTGAGTTGAAAATGCATTGTTCTTTTTTTTCAGGCCGCGCTTTCTAATCGCTATTTATATGTTCTCGATGCGTAGCATCACAATGACTAAAAAGATATTTTCCGGATGAACAAATGTTGTTTCCTGCAAAGTATTATCATTGTATGCATATTATCAAATTAAAAACTAATTTAATAAATGTGCAATGGAGAGCTGGTGATTAAGAGGACGATAAATTTCTGATGTTTCTAACATATCGAACATATTTTTGATACTTCGTCGTATTTCCACATCTTTTCTCTTGCTCTTGAAATTATTTCCGTTAGAAATTTTTCGGTTAAATTAAACATGCCCTTCAGTATAATATTGTTGTGTAATAATGTGTTATTTCAAGCAATGTTTCTCTACGGATACGAGAACGCAGTGTTTATCATACAATGTATAATGCTACACAACATGAGAGACTTTCTATATATATACGTTATAAGTTGTCTCGTATTTAATTAATGTTAATATTATATTCAATTAATAAGGAAGAAACTCTGCTATTTTACACTAATACACATATTATATATTTTTGAATTATGTAAATTTGTCATAAATTTTTATATTATAATTGCATTATTAGTGAACAGATTTTTCAATTAAAATTATTAAGCATATTCTATTTTATGATACAATTAAGATACTTGCGATACAGATTCTTGACTTTTTATTACTGTTTGTTTGATTAAAATTTGTGTTCTGTTTAATAATTTTCGAGATATTTCAATGACGAGAATTTTATAGAATAAAACTCAATCTATAAACTTGCAGCATTTAACTGATGTATTTTCAACAATTTATTAATTGTAGGATCAATTGTAGGAAATGAGAATAACTCGAAGTCCTCGCTTATGTGTCCGGCATTACGCCGACAATTGGAGACTCATAAGAATATCTTAAAACTTCTGCATGAGCATAAGCTAGTTTCCACGCAGATTAACGGCCAGAGAATTCTCAGCATTCAGCCGATCCGATGGAATGGACCAACACCTGGAATCGAGTGCGAGATCTTCGTCGGCCGCATCCCGAAAACGATTTACGAGGACACTTTGTATCCGTTGTTCAAAGAGATCGGCGAGATCTTTCAGATCCGATTAATGGTAGATATGGCCGAAACAACAAGAGGCTATTGCTTCATCATGTACACAAATCCTAAGGATGCCGTGCATGCCATCGCTCGACTTGACGAATATGAGATCCTACCTGGCAGGAAGATACGAGTGTTAGCAACGATTAACAAGTGCAAGCTCTACATTGGCCCTTTGCCATGGCATATTGCATCAGAAGAAGTTGTCAAGGCGAGTTTGTTTTTTTATTACTTACATTTATATTTTGTTTGTACTTTATAAATTTAACATCTAAAATTTTAAACATTTTTGCATGAACGAAAGCTGCTTTGAAAATTAGATTTTGTTACAATTTTTATCTTTATGGTCTAGTTTTTTTTTACATTAAATGTATTTTTATTTTTGTTATACTTGAATTTTCTTTTATTACGTCAGGTAATTTACGCATCAGTATGGGATATTGAGTACGTGTCAATCTATCGATTTCCAAATCACGACGCAGCTTACGCAATAGTTTCCTTCAAATCACATCGCAATGCAGCTTTAGCGAGACGAAAATTGAGACCTGCCAAACTTTTCAAATGCAACGAAGTACATGTTGAATGGGCGCGTGTCGATTGGAATCCCTCTAATGTAGTGAGTACATTTTTATGTGTCAGATTTTAATGATCAGAATTGAAGCATAGAAATATATTTATAATTTATATTTCTCCAAAAAAAAAGACAATAATTGTATTTTTTTAAACTTGTGTGCGTAGTAACTTTTAAAGTTTTTTTCTAAAATATAATAATTTTATACAAATTTTTTGTATTCCAGTGCTTCAGTTTAAAAAAAAAAAAGATTGAAATGTGTGTTACTTCGTCGAGTTTGAATTTTAATATCATATAAAATTGATACCGTTTTGTTTGCAACAATAATAATATAACATAATCGACTTTTGTATATGAAAAATTGCACTCGACGAAATAGTGTAAGTTTCAATCTTCGAATTACAATTAAAAATAGACGAAGAGAGACAATAGCTGATTATAATATTTTTGCTGTATTAAAAAAACTAATTTTAAAGAGCATTATATTACTTTTTTCAAACTTATATGCTTAATGGAATGTGTATATGTTGGTTTCATTAATATATTTGGGTTGAGCATAATAAATCTCCGTGTATAATAAAATCCAATTAACAGAACATAAAAAATTATTTAAATGTAAACTAAAAATATCTTTAAAAATATAAAATTAATTGCTATCGATCACCAAAAATCTTATTTGTTTGACTTATTTTGCACATTAGAGTTTCGATCATTTTTAGCATTTTTTAATTTATATTTTAAAATAAAATGTAACACAGCAAACATGAACTAATAATTAAATACTTAAATAAGTTTAATAATTGCTTTTGATGCAATGTTAGGATAAAACGTTATTTTTATTTGCCTAAAAAGAAGCTGTAGCTAAAGAATTTATTGAAATTGGTGCCATTATAACTGGATCATCGACAGAGCCAGAGATACAAGTAGTTTCTTACGTTTCCACCACGAGGCGCTCAGATTTCGGTTAGACTCTATAACGGAATATCAGCTGATTGCAGCTGATCGTGTACGTAGTTTCATTCACGCGGTTATGTCGGTTAGTTCTTTTACACGAGCTTCTCTCAATCAACAATGAGTGTTTCGAAAGTGCAGCACAATGAGTATTGCGATTATCGCAGTCCTTTATCGACTCGGTACGCTTCCAAGGAGATGCGGTACAATTTTAGTGATCAAAACAAATTCAGTACGTGGCGCAAGCTTTGGATTTACTTGGCAAAAGCTGAAATGGTATGTAAACGAGAAATAAGCTGCCGGTGTATTTGTTTGTATTATTGACATTGCTCCGGTGAATATAATCGAATCTTACGTTTAGACACTCATGAAGAATATATAGGATATGCGAGTACAGTTTCTATAAAAATAATCGAATTCGTACTTATAGCTAATTAAAATCGGATCGTTATTGTCGTGTCATTTAATATAAAATTTGAAAATGACTGAATACTTGTCTATCGAAATTTCTACAATTTCAATAAATAGGAGATTTATGGAAATGTGCTTCCGAATTGAAATATTTTAATCATCTACAGCAAACATGTAGGCATTGCGTTGAGCATATTACGAAACTATTTTTAACGCATTGTATTGCCACATCTTATCGAATTACGCACAACATTTCGAAAACATGTTATCTCCACGAAGTACCGAGATAGTTATAATCTAATAAGCAAAACACATTATAAAGTGCATTTAAATTTTAATCTCAAATTAAGTCATCAGCAACGATTTCGAGGAATTCGATAAAATCAATCGGAGGAGGTTTGCAATTCTCAGTTAATTATCATCTTTAAATTAATGTGAAACCAACTGTGCATTCCAATACGACGTTAATTCATTATTTATACTAATGCATCTACATTATATAAAAAAAACAAACAAATATTTTATACATTTCTCTTGATGCTTGAACTCTCTTCGTCTTTTAATTACTTCAACTTATGGCCGGATTACACCAACATACCATTTAGATTAAAATTATGTTCAACAGAGAAATCTAAAGGTTTCTTTTCGCATGTGTGCAAAGACTAAAAAAAATCAATATTGGTGCAATCAGACTAATATCCATTTTCTAATCTAGCGGGACAAAAATATCTTATTTATATGCCGATGTTTTATTTATTTTGTTTTAAAATTATTTACATTAAATATATCAATTTTAAAATTTGCAGAATTTCGTGAAAGAAACATATCTAATTAATATCTACGTATTTACTTCTTGAAAGTAAACAGTAAAAGTTTTATTTTTTTATATAGTCAATTATATATTATTTTGTCCAGCAAAGTGCGTTCACAATGTTTAAATACGTGCTTGAATGTGCATGTGTCAGCATGTCACAGTGTCAACATAACGGTTATCCTTTATTACACGTTCATACTTGTCGCGTGACCACAGATGCCGTAATATTTTTTGAAGTGTAAAAAAATGTGTAACGGAAAATAGGTTGTGTGCTTTTCAGCACTATCGTGAAATGAAATTAATGTACACGTATCGATCGAAATGTTTTGATATTTTCTTTATATACTTTGCGTATTCTTTGTACAATTTTTTTACGAAATATACTTTTCCGAAATTATGCAAATTTAAAAATAAAAAAATCATAAAATATCTTTAGATAGAATACTTTTATCCCGCTAGATTGGAAAAATGGTGCCATTGTGCACCTCTATTTTTACAAAATCTAATTTTTCCTTTGCAAATCGCATCTCCATTAGTATGAAGATCGCGGCACAGTAAACGATAAGGGCGATGTGCAGATCACTCGAAGATATTTGCAGCCTAAGAGAGCTGTGTCTTTGGTTTCAACGCAGAACAAATCGAATTATAATCGGAAGCAGATCACGCCGATCTGCCCGCCCAAAAGCAACGGTCGTGTCAGTCCTTCCAAATCCGCCAAATGCAACGGTACCCGTTATTCCACTATGCTGACTATGTCGGCTATGCTAGACGAATCGCGCAATAATAAACTGAAGGTAAACACGGATATCAACGACAATGTGCAGCTGTTGAACGAGCATTGTAAGGACAAGATGTACTGGAAGAACGACGCAGATGCGAACAGTTTTCCCAACTTTGATATGTGGAATTCTAATCTGGTCCCCTCGTTACCGAACTCGCCCACAGATTCGAGTAGTTTAAAGAATTACGAATCGTTGGATAAAATATTGAATCAATCAATATACAATTGGGAGAGCAGCATAAAATACGTGTCGCCGAAAACTTCCTCGTTTAATGGATATCGATATCCAAATGATCCCGGAGTCTCGGATTATTGCCATCCCACTTATAATTATTATCTGAACAAAACGGTTGATCAAAATCAGCCGATTTCTACCGGCGCCGTTCGGTATCAGACCTTTCCACATCAAAGTCGTTCATCAGCACCGTGTTACATGCTACTGCAGTCGCAGAATAATTATCTCTATTCGAAGAATCTTATGACTTATCCGCAGTCGTCGATCGTTAATCGTAGCGATGGTTACGATCAGTGCGCGCCGTTATCAGCAAACTGCAGCGATCACCGATCATGTTTTTGCAACGGACAGACGAGCGCTCACAAGCCAATCGGGAGTTCCACAGTTGGAAAATTTAACAATTGCGAATTTTACGGCGTGACTCCGGCAAAAGTGGAAAACGAGACCGTGGCGGGTTCGGGTCCGGTCAATTTCACGTCGAGTTGCAATCAGAATTGCGCGTCGAACTTCGTGCTGAATTTTACGCCGATCTACGCGTCAAGTGCCGCGTCGGAAAATGCGACGGCACCATGCGCCGTTTCATATAATACAGCGAGTGAGAAGAAGCGTCCAAAACCAATCTTAAGTCACACTAACGGCCATATTTCATAATGGGAAGGATGTTTTTCTCCATTCCTTTCCCCCCCCTTTTTTTCTTTTTCCTTTTGTTTCTTTTGACATCTTACGCAAATTTTAGAAAACGGCGGCCATCAAATACCAAAGATGACATTTTTACGTTTATTTCATGCATTAATATGACAATCGGGGATATAATTTTTTTATTTCTATTAATGTTGCTATCGGCCGTTAGTGTTTGCATGTAAGCGTAAAGATTTTTTTTTATGTAAATGTTACCGGAAACTCGGTACATTGCTTATTTTATATTTTATAATATTTTAATAAGTGTATGTCATGCTGCCATTTTTAAAATCGCGTATAAATCGTTGGCACATATTTATTTTTTAACGATCTACATGATCGCGACTTGCTTACGAAATGAGCTTACAGATTTATATTGATTAGTTAAGTTTTATGTTGAGCGTTCTTATATTTATTTATAAAGCCTGATTGACCATCCACAAATATTTTCTAATCGCACAATTTTTAAAGGTCTTAGATTTTTTTACTGTTATATTTTTGTTATCTTTACGTGCTCGAAATAAGAAATCCTCTGGAGAACGCGTTATTAGAAATTATGCCAAACTTTCAGAAATCACGCTATATTTTAAGAATAAGACTGAACATGAAGGTAGAAATGACAATAAGTAGTATTACATAATAATATTACAGTGTAAATGATTCGACAAGATGAAAATATCATGTTTCAAGAAATGTCATACAAGTACAAAGTACGAATCATGTTCTTCCGAAAGCATTATGTTACATTAAGTTACAGTTAATAACAGTGATCAATACCGCTGTTTCTTTAGCATATCCGCATAAAGTGAATAATATTAGGTTATTATTCATTGACTTATTCATTGATCTGACTATAATTGTAAGGAATAAACTTTAATAGTTTATCACGATATCGACGTTTGTATGATTTGTGCAAAATTAACCCTACCTGTAATCAATATATAATGTGTTACATTGAGGAAAAAGAATCCGGATGCAATTAGCCACATTTTGAACAAGCGTCTGATTTCAGCAGACCATTCTATGAACAGAATCTAGTCACTTGATTTCGACAATCTTGAATGGATCATCATTCCGACACTTACAGTTTTAACGCGTCGTTCGCGAAGTAAGAATTTACAATTCGCACACTTTAACTTTTTCCAATCCATACCTTCGAGTCTGCTTGTTATCTAAAGCGATAACATGTTTTGTTAATAAATTAATTTAATTAAAAAATTTTTTTATTAGCAAAGATAGCTAAAAAATATCATTTTTCTTAAAAAATTGCATAAAAACATTTTTTTACTGAGGTAAGAATATTTTTTGATTTTACAACAGGCAAGATATTATATTTATATAAAATTTTACCTTTTTACTTTCTAATGGGGCGCAAAATTCGCAGAAGTATCTCCCCTTTTTATCTTTGAAGGCGGTGTGGTATCTGGAATTGTCCGAAATTGGTTTCAAACTCTGAAAAGTCTATAATTAGGGTATCAAAATTTTCGGATAAAATCAAATTAATATTAATTGTCAATGCTTTTTTAAAGTCACCTTGTTGTGTTGCTTGCAAAGCGAATAATCGATGTCTTCATGTTCAATAGGATTCGATGATTCAGTAAGTTTCACCTGCAAATATGAATAAGATTGGAATACGGTGCGAAAATTTATTTGCCGAAATTTAGTAAATTAATAAACGCGAACGTATTGTACTGTTTGAGCAGCTTGTGTCACATTCGTCGTCCTCGATGTTATCCTTTTATGAAGATTTTCGTCGGCTACATTTCTAAATGACAAACAACGATGTTAAAACTATTCATATAGTGATTGATTTATGATGTATTTGCAAGAGCTTACGTGTCTTTGACGGGGTCCACTTTGTTCAGCTTTAAGTGCAAGAATGTCCTAGGTTTTGTTCTGCTGTTCACTGGCGTAATCAGCATTGTGCTCCTAAAACGATTGTTTTGTTAGCAACATACTTCACTCTCTACTTCGGATTATAGTATGATGATTTAGGGCCACTTTTTCCAACGTCGGTTAACTTTAACCGACTGGTAACTTTTTAGAATAGCCAACTTAAAACTCGAAATTTGTATATACATATACATATACAAGTTTCGAGTTTTAAGTTGGCTATTCTGAAAAGTTAACCGACGTTGGAAAAAGTGGCCCTTAGTATGATAATCGATTTAACTTGTTTCTATAGTTTAATATCTGTATTTTTTATAAATTGAAAAAATTTGAAAGAAAAGTTAAGAATATTAAAGTACAATAATCGTTTGATCGATGAGCTAAAATTGGAGAGGCTCGATCGTACGCATGTAAAATCGGCCGTCGTATAATCTTAAAACGATTAACGCCTACATTTGTGTAGCTACATTGTGTCTCGTCGACTCCTCTATATTCTCTTGTGCCACGCACATAAACTGTTGGTAAATTGTAACTCCGTGCTCTCCTCCGCCTTTACTTCTTTCGATTTTGTCGCTGTCTCGTTCAATTTCATCAATCAAATCTTCTCCCTCCCTTTTAACGCTCTCTTCGTACGTTCTTTCATTTTTCTCATCGAATTCCTGGTCAACGTTCGCGTTTGCTGGTTTTACGTCTCTTTTCATCTCTGTTATATGGACTTTTCGTTTGGAACTAATTACAAGATTAATTAGACCGCGATAGATTGTAGTTTTCAATATTTGATTGTAACCATTTTTTTAAATATCTTCAATGGATAAAATATTCGTATAATTGTTTTTGGAAATATAAATTCACGACACATACATAGTGGCGTCTGATAAAGCTTGAGGTTTCTTGTCCGATTTCACGTGAGAAGTTGGGGTGTGTTCCGTGACGGTTTCTGATGCTTCTGTCAGTTTCTTTTCGGTGCTTTTGTACGCAGGATCTTTAATGGGAATTATCATTTACAAATCATACAACGATAACCGCAAAATTCAGAGTCAGGTCTGTACATTTCGAAACTACTGCAAAATTGACAAAATAAATGGTTCCCGAAAAAATGGTGATAGTTAAAAGTTTGAAGTACCGATTCTTCTCGCAAATATCTGACTCTGAACAATAAAGATTTCAATTCCGTATATCAGATTTACTCGCAACCTGCTGTGTTGTCTCACTCGTCAATGCTCTGCTCGGATTTTGTTCCAACGTCAGCCGCTTTGGTGTTAATTGCTGTGATTGGTGATGATGATTATGCCGTCGCTGCTGCGTTCCGCATGTGCATCTGTAAGAAGGACTGTGTCATTTTCTAGACGTTAAAGTTAGAAGAATTGTACAAACTTACCCGGGACAACACGGCATGCCGACTTCTCCGCGAATGAACTGCACGATCGCGGGATACGTCGGTTGTAAGTTTTGGAATTGCGGAGTAGATGTAGATCCTCCATTGACGGAAGGCGAATGGAAGCAGTTCAATTGCTGATAGCAGAATTCGCATTTGCTCAACGTCTGCATCGGTGTCTCTTTCGTGATCGTATTTGGTGTCTGATTTCATTCCACGCATGCGTGAATTTAAGAATAAGTTTCACATGACATTTTAAACGTTACACGAATCTACGTAAATTTTATTTGCGAGTGACGGTAAATTTATTTCAATATATATTATAAAAAAAATTCACACTACTTCTCGCTTTAGATATCATAATTAAATGTGATTGCAATGAGGAAATAGAAGCTTTAATGCCGGACTTAACATTTGACCTATCAAATTGAGCGTTGCTCACTTGACTCTCCACGACGGAGACTTTATTCGGTTCTGTCTGAATTTGCGCTACGCCGAGATTACATATCGATGGCACACAGGTGGGACGATCGATGTACTCCCGTCGTTGGGGGTATTCGATTTTACGGTAAGAGTGATCGGGCGTCGCAATGTCCTCCAATTCGCGTGGCACTCTTACGTCGCTCAAACTGGTCGTTACATCGTGCTTCATTATCTACATTTTGCGAACAGGCGTAACGTAAATTAGAACATGAAAAATATAAAACAATAATGAACTACACAAACGTTACTGAAAAATTATTGGTTATAAATAAAATTACTTTTTTACATTTGTACATGAAAGTAGAAATGAATACATTTAAAATGCGAGTCATCAATCTTCTGTTCTATAGTATGAAATGTACGATTTGATGCGAGATGAAACTTTCTCTCTGGGTCGATTTCTACTCACTTCTATAGCGGATGTTATGGGTGTGACACGCGGATCTTCGTCTTTACGCAGTAAAAATTCCGCAGTATCACCGCAACATCGTTTACAGACCGAGCACCTTCTTCTCCAAAATCTGCAGATGTACAGAAAATATAATTTTATCAATTGAGTGTTTATCTTAAATATTTAAGATTAATAATAAACCGAGACTTGCGCGAGTAGCATCGTGATGTCAATTAAGAACAACAACGCCGTCAACAGACATAGTGTTGTCACCACTATCTGTATCACGAGTTGTGTGTAGGCGTTACAAATAAGTAAAATTCCAGCAATTCCAAAAAATAAGAGGCCAAGCAAGGAGAATATCGACATCTGTAATGATTTACGAAGAATTATAATTACAAAAAGAAAGAGACACAGTGAAATCGGAAGATTATCAGAAAATCAACTTTATGTGTTAAATAATAATAAATACAATGTATGCAATAATTTATCATACTTCGAAAAATGCTCAATTGAAGAAGTATAAAGTATTAAGATAAGAAATTTTGTCACGTGGCTTTAATTTACTGAAACAGTAACGTATAAGTGCAGCGTAAATTACCGGAATGATGTGTATGGCGCCCCTGGCGAAATAACTGATCAAGTCGACGGCTAAGACGAAGACGTAGGCGCCCGATAAGACGATTAAGAGAATGCAGACTAAATGACTCATGGGCGTAGGAACCATGACAATCATATAGATCGTAAACACGAACAGCAGCAATGCCGCGAACTGTCTCGAGAAAAAATTGTAGAACACAAGACAAGATTATTCGATCTATTCTATTTTTCTATTGATTTCAATTGAATAGAATATGTTTAATATGCACAAATTGAAATATCCTTAATGGCTTGAGCAAGGTCGACACGCATCTGCTTGTTTTCTGCTGCGATTGCCTGCTGCGATCCAATTGCATTTTTACTTTTGCCATCTTGCTGGTTTATGAATATCAACGTAATATATAAATGAAACGAATGCTATACTTTGACGGCTGCAACGACATGTTGTACGCTATTTTTGTTGTCCCAATAAAAATCGTTGCTATGCTATGCAACGGCTACTTCACGTGTTTGTTTTCTAACTTTTTTACATTTATTTTTAAACATTCACGTGGTAATATAATTTAAAAAATAATGTTCACACAAAATAAAAGATAAATTCCAGTAACTTGCAAATAATAAAACGAGAACTTTTTATATTTAAACATTTATTTACAGTGTATACGCACACAGATATACACATGTTCATTTAGTATCCGTATAAATAAATTAAAAAGACGTCTAATAGATATAACAAACTGCAAACACCTGATAACGCCATGCTCGTTGTTAATCGCCATAATTGAGCTATCGCCGGTCTATTTGTGACGAGAAAAATGCCACATGTTGCCATTAGGAACAGGATTGTACCTATCACTCCGAATAGAAACATCTGTAAATAATTAATTTGAATTAATCAATAAATAATCAATGAAATGTAAATAATTAATGTAGATATATTTATGTACATAACAGAGCAAGTAAAAAAAGAATAACTGATTATTTATTGTACTCCAGCTTGTAATAAATGACAAATATTTTTTTATTTGTGCAAAACAAAATGAAAAGTGATGATTTTCAAAATCTGTACTAACCGGCACGTCTGGTATCGGATCGCCGCTAAATTGGCTAATTATATCCACCAGTGCGATAAAAAGATAGCTCGTGTAAAGTGTCATCAAAAGTATCTCTTCTATTTTCTCGTACGGAGTATCCCTGGAGATCGTGTGCACGGTTAGCGCAAACACCGTCGCTACCAGCAACTAAATTTCAAGATTAACATCACACCGTTGGTGCTGAAGCTATAACTGACGCGTAAGTTAATTTTACTTATAATAAATGAATTAAACTTGTAATAAATTTAATATTTTTCGTTCACACAAAAATTACACTTCTTTAAATAAATTTTATTGATGATTCAAATAAATACAAGGAACATAAATCAATTTTGAGAGATTAAAAGCAAATGAAGTAATTTCAACAGAAATATATAATTTGCTAACGAATTGGATGACGCGTATCGGTTTGATGACAGGTGGGGTTTCGTCGTAAGTTGCGTTAATACAATTTCCTGCACAACACGGCTGCTCGCTCATGACGGAACTCTTGTGTAATACATCTTATCAATAGTTTCGCGAATCTTTTCGCAATGACTTTGGTCAACTGTGAAGTGCCGCATCGCGGCAGGTTAATCAGACCGCTCTCACGATTAGTACGAGCGAAGTTAGCGTAAATTTGTTTCTTTTAGCTGCACTTGCGCATAAAACAGGTGGAAAAAATTTTCTCATCTCGCTTAAAAATAGCGTAAAGTTGATTTATTGAAATATTTTGTAGAAATAAATGCTTTAGATACAAAAATGGACGGATATTTATGAACACAAATATAATAGATACTTTGCCGAATAACAAAGAACTTTCCGAAATTGCGACTGTGGTGCGCATAGTTGCAATTTCACGTTTTGGTCTTGCTGTTGCACAACTATTCTAATATATAACTATAATAATATAACTAAATTATGTTACTACTAACTGTTCTTATGAGATAAGTACATACATATACACAATGTTACTTAAATGCTATTGTTGTGATAATACGAATATTATATAATATTATTATTATGTTTCTAATAATTCCTTTTTCTTAAGAGATTCATGAAATCAATGCTTTAAAAAAAATTGTGACCCATTTTAATTAAAATTATTATAATTGCAATAAATGTAATATTTTTGGTTTCAAATTTGTTAAATCCTATTTGAAGAATTTACAAGTATTAAAAATCATCCATTTAATATTTTTCGATATAAACTTGAAGAAACTTGGTGAAATTGCTTGCAATAACGTTTAAAAATAGTATTTAACATCTTTTACGTCTTTTTTTAAGCAGACTATGCATAACTTTGGCGAAATTCACGAGTCAACTCCTATAAAATCAAATGTTGAGATTATCAGATCTTTTACGAAAATGTGCTGTTCATGACGAATATCTTATTATTGCAATTATTTCGGCGATAAACAGCGCTGCATTTACGAACGTAAATACGGCTGCGGATACAAGCATGTCCATGTACTGTTTGCTCGGATGAATCTCGTTGTTGTGCACGTAATAGTAGGGACCGTTCATATTGCGCCAATTATGGATCATCAAACTTCCGGCCACCACGTGCATAAACGCACCAACGGACGCGAACATCACCAACTGTAACATTGAATTAATTACTAATGAAGTGCATGGCATTTGATATTTGCGTGAAAACAAACTCGCAATCTATCAATCATTTGATTTTTAATTACCGGCATAAACCAGTAAATAAAGCTGGTATTGCGTACATGAAACGCCACGGATTAAAATTGCATTTCGCAACTGATCATCCTAATAATTCCTAGTATTTAGGAATTTATGTTCTAAACTTAGAAAATTACTTTATATGTGTGTCATTCACTTTTTGTTATTCATTTATAATTAACGCGATAAATTTTATATTATCGTGACTTATTGAATTAATCCGAGATCGAATTACATCGTGGATGCAGAAGAAAAATATCTTATTATTATTTATTGTTGTATTTATTACTGCGAAGTGAGGATATTTCTCCGTTGCTTAATGAGATCTAATTGCAAATGCCATCGATTATTTTTCGCGAGAAACATGCCAAATGCACAAAGCGAAATTTGCACAGTTGAAATATTTTCAGTCGTGTAACACACACGAAATTAATGTATTGACATCTGTTCTGATAAGTCTGATAAGTCTCAGATCGTACACTCGGCGATTTTCACTCGAGCGATACGTTATTCTTAAGCGGCACGTAAAGCGACATCGCATAACTGTAGCGTGCCTCGCATAGCGAGGCCTTGATGCGTCCGCTAATTAACGCATACGTCGTCGCTTACTCCGTAATGACTCAGCTGTACAAATGGACTAGGCGTACCTAGTTGTGTGCTAACGGCATTTTCCAGCATGGACACAATGTAACGAGGATATAAACTTACAATTTACATTGATTATTAAATTGCGAACATTTACAAAAAATTGACAAGGTAATTTGGAACGCGAAACTACCTGTTTACGTTATTTTCTTAAGTAATTTTCTGCATTGTTTTCGATCGGTACTTACGTAACTATCATTCTTTTTTTTCCATCAAAATTTATTTTTACGGAAAGGAAAAAAATATTTAACATACGAAACAGATTTTTTTCTATTAAAGTGTTGAAATAATGACATAGTAAAACTTATTATTCTTGAAGTCTACAGCCTTTTATCTTATAGTCTACGTGAGTATAAAAGTATACCACAAGTATAGTCACTCATTTCTTCTTATAGAAAGAAGTCATAGATATGAAATATGTTACGAGAGACGCAGAAGCTCGAAATTAACTTTTACTCAAATTTTAATGCGATTTAATAAAAGCATTACCGTTCTTTTTGGTATGCGATCACCCAGTACGTGGCTTATGACGAACAGCGTGTTGATAAGAATATAGCCTGCAATCGTGATATAAATAGTGGCAGCATCGTCCAGCTTGAAACGCGGTCTGTTGAAAATTCGTTGGAACGAATTCATCGGATCGACCGCCAGGCCGATTGCAAAAATGGCCACTATCTGCATTGGAGAACGTGTATTACATGAAATATATACATATTTAAATCTATCAACGTTGTGCATATCGTGAAATGAGATGCGCAGCAATAAAAAACGGAGAAAACTGTGTCGCCGAGTGATGCTAATAGCGAATGAAGAAATATTTTTAAAAAAATATTGTCAAGCGCTATGCGAATAAACAAGCGACTAGAATATGCGTTACGTTATGCTTCGACTTCTTCACTTGTGAAACAATTGAAACGGTTATTTGTTTTTTTAGCTACGGTTTTCTTTTCTTACATCTTGTTCTCAAAATATTTACTCTAATTTGTCTAATTTAATTGTTGCTTTCCTAATTAGCAAATTTGTATAACTTAAAAGTGCAAATATTTTTCACAGGAGCTATTTTATTTTAATCAATTAATTAAAGGTGCTCACCACTTCGAGAACTATGATGGCGATCGGCAGATGGCTCAAAAATTTGCGATGTTTAGAAGTTGGCTGTTGAGCTTGCTGGCTTTCGTCCGCCATTCTGACTCTTCGATGCTTTCCTCTTCTGTCGCCCAGCTTGAAAAATTTTTAGTTCAAACTCGATGACAATCGTTTTTGTTTTCCGTGCGTGCACCCTTCTTCAATCTTAGCAACCTAAAACGAGAAACGCGATAGACATCGCGTGTAGGGGAGGCATGTAGGGAAGGCGTTTAAAACTGTCGGAGGGTTGAACTCGAGGAAAACTGCTCGCATATGACGCAAATAAAAGAACATAGAATGAATTCTTTGGACGATATAAACGAAATATCTGTTTCAATTAAATTCGCGCTGATTTTTCTTAAATATCGAGAGATCGATATTTTAAATATATAATTTATAAGCTGTTAAAAATTGATGATATTTGACGTCAAATAAAAAAGAATAATTATTAATTATTTTATGTACATTTCTGATGAATATTTGAAATGCAAATAAAACAACGTTGTTATGAATTTTTCATTATTTAATTACAAAGAGATTATTTTGATGAAATCTCGATTCTAAATTAAATACATATTTATTTGAAATTAGTTATAAAATCTATTTAAAAAACAGAATCAAGGGATAATAATATAAGCATCGATACTTTATATTTCTTTCGACATGCGACATAATTTCTGGAAATCAAGCCCGATCCTTTTTTATTCATTTATCTTTTACTTTCTTATATGAACACGTAGGTATACGAGTTGTGTGCGTGAACTGTCGCAACTCGTTACTTGTTATTTAAATAGGTCTGAATGGGTCTCTCAAGTATACGTTCAATAACAAATACTCCGTTCCCATTGATTCACCTGACACGCGCTCGTCCACGTGTATCACCTTCGGTCACTTGCCGACGAGCAAACTGCAATTGCACTTTAATGCACCACTGCGCTACACACACCTTATTTCCAGCGAAAACACGAGCTCCGAAAAATAAAGTCCCAACGGACTCGCGCGTATTAGTTTCCGATTTTTTTATTTTCGATTCTACTTCCACCTAAAAAGAAAAGAAAGTTCTACTAGAAGTACTTTTTCTGTTTTTTTTTTTTGTAATCAGAAACAAGTTAGTACAGCGCGCGTCGCGCCTCGTAGTAAAGTGAACGTGCCTCACTATGCAACGTTGCAGCTCGAACTAAAACGTAGAACGTACACGATGCGCGATACGAATACACGAACTCGATTCTCGCGCAGGCGAAGTACACGACTACAATCCTACGCGCGAGCAAGTCGCGACTAGGCACGCGGCAAGGTAAAGGAATCGATGCTTCGATACTAGCCGTCGCTAGTGATGCTTACGTTTCACAATCGAGGCTTTCACTTGGCACCGAGCCGAAGTGTCAAATTATTTGGTATTTTCAGCAGAAATACTTATAATAAATCGCAAGATCGCCACTTATGAGCGATATATTGTTTAAGACGCGGCAATATTATTATAAATAGCACGGTTTTTTTTATCAAATAAATTAGCATTAACTAAATGCTACGGAGCTTAATTGATAAAGAAATAAAAAAAATGAATTAAAAGCGGCGCACCTCTACGATGTTACATTTGCATTCAGCAAGAAACATATCGAGGTCGGACTCTTTCACGCACGACGGCGTTTGACATCGCCAGATTTCCGGTCGCGTTTTTGTCTATCTAAATATTTGTTCTGTATTCGTTAACGTGTCACGGACGTGCGTGAAACGTCTTTTTGTCGCGTGCAAAACGCCTTTTTGTCGCATGCACCGCCCTATTACATCATCCATCGAAAGTGTTTGATGATGATGCATCATAAATCAGATACACATCGAGGACTTTTTGTCGTAACTTCCTGAAATAAAATGATTTAATCAGAAGGAACGGAAAAGCTCTGAGAGATATAAAAGAATTCAACGCGTGTTCTTTAGCTTCAATTTATGTTATTTTTAATGTAATATTTCATTTCTTGGAAATATAAGAGAAATATATAAAAATATCAGGTTGTACTTGTTATACTTTAAAGAATGTTGCATGCATTAAAATGCGACAACGCTTATAAAATTCATAACAAAGTTCCGCGAGTGTAACTTCGTTGGAAACACGCACGATCCTATTTCATGGCATTATTTTGACGTTGCAGTAGTGCAAGGACACGTTGTGATTTCGCGTGTTGCCTGGCGTATGTATTGAATAGGCTCGCATTACACGCGAACGCGTGCTTATTACGTCGCACGTAATTATGGCAACGCGATTATTTTTAACCGAGATTACTAAGCATTCGGTCTGTTGAATTCGAATTAATATTTTTGTTTAGAATGTGATAAGCCTCAATTCTAGGCGTGATTGAGCTGCACAATATTCAGATTATCGAATCGTTCAGTTTCAACTTCTGTGAAATTTATTATTACTGTTTAATATTATAATTGTTTAATGCATGTTTTATTATAGAAATTACAAACTTACTAACTCGTTTGAATTATTCTTATTTGGACTATCTAAATAATTGGGATGTTAAAGTGTTATTTTGCCGTTACATTTAATTATAATACTTTTTTGCGAAAAATTAATTTATTTAAAACTATATTTATTTCCCGTAAATGTGAATACCGCGAACAAGACCATGGAAGTAATAAATCTAAAGGTAATTTAAGTTGACACACTTTTAGATAATGCATCTACGCGTCCATTTGCAAATTAGATTATTCGCCAATTACCAATTTGACGGACGACGCAAAAAGATTGATTACAAACGCAATATATGACTTTACACGAAGCTGTAGTTTTTATAAGCCATAAGTACTCGCCTTCGCCGGAAACGAGTCGTAGTATCGATCCACGCGTTGTACAACGAGTTCGCTGCAATCTCTTACTTTACGTATTGCGATTACTGGGGATCTATGCCAACCCGACCTCAATGAAACATTCACAAAACAATTATTTTTCGTCTGCCTATACAAATGCTCACATAATAATTCTCCTGCCGACAGTACGCGGCGTTATTTTTTTATCGTATGGACTCATTCCGTAGACATAAGAATGTATAATAGAAGCACGAAACGTGTGCAAGCTCGAAAAGAGGAAAGAAGTCGGTGTTTATAAGCATGTTTGTTACTTAAGACCTGTTATTTTTCACTCTATTCATGGCAATGAAAATAATTTATGGTAATTGTGATAATTCAAGCTATTTATAACGCATAAGATGCACGACAGCCAGTCTTGTAATCAATAATTCGCGTGATAGCAAATATTTTGTTATAAGACAAATGAAATCGGAAATTCTGCAATTGTTACAAACTACAATTATTACAAACTTTTGTTTCGAATGTTCAGAGCGAATGACTTTACTCCGACTGTTTTTGGCGAACATTTATATTTTATTTAAAAACAGTTTTATACCTAAAACGCAATTTACGATAGTCATTATGTGATTTTTATCGGAAAATTGAGTTTCTGTCTAAATAATTATTCTTATTAGGTTTATAACTTTAGTACGCGTGACTCTCATAATTAACGTGATTATATAGTCGACTGTGGGTGGGTACGCAAACGTGCCAGTCATCCACAACGACCGCCAGGTCGCCAGGTCAAATGTATTAATTAACGCGCACAACGAGATCTTACGGCTTATAATAGAATCATCCGGTGCAAAAGGATGCCACAGAGTCATTCTTTTCGAAAAGGGCGAGGTTCGTATTTTTGATTACACTTTTCACATTTTACCTCGACGTTTTTTTCAAGACTCACAATCGAATCTTGTTGTGTAAATGGGGCACGCACGCAATTGACACGTATTATCGCTGGGTAAGCGAACGATAAGTCGTGTGAGTTTCAGATATGCTAGGAAGAAATAAATTTTTATACCATTGCTACGAATAGAAAGATGTTTAAAATTTCAATTTGCTCGAAGCCAGCGAGTGTTGATTTTTATTCGATTAAAATTTGATTAAATTTTATTCGATTGAAAAGAATATTATTAAAATGACTCAAGTATGTAATAAAGATGCTTCAAATTATTTTTTGCATAAATTTTCTAATAAATTTTATTACACGTTACATGTGTTAATGGAAAGTATACGTCTGTATGAATAAATATGTATATAAAAAGTGCAATGTGTGAGAAAATCGTGTGTCTCTCTTGAAAGGAGGACAAGATTGAATTTTTTGCAAAGTGAAATTTCCGTACAAAAATATGACTAACAATATACTTTGAGATATAAGGAATGTTTAATCGCTCTAATGATTGTTTAATATATGAAATTTTTATGATGCTCGGCATGTTAGTTACATATAAGACGAGTTGACTTTGATGGAAACGCAAGTGTTTCGCAAATATTGATATTGTCAACGGTGTCATCTTATACTACTTTCTCTCCTATGTTAATTGAACTCATCTTTAGCGTAATGGAGAAAGCTTAGTATTAAATCCATTAGATACGTTGCACCTTCTAAAACGCACAACGAACCTACCGCCAAGCCGATCTGAAATCATCAAATTTTCCTTATAGTTTTCGTTTACGTGTTATGTGAGATTTCACTTACCTGTCTCTCTGGTGCATCGTATACAAATTTCTGCTCAGGCTGATAGCCGTGCCAATAATGCAAGGCTGTTCCACCCACGGCCACAAACATGAAAGTTCCGACGAAATTCATGATAATTTCCTTTAAAAAAATTGAAATATATTAGTTTAACGTAAAGAACTAAAATCTTAAATAATTGATAATTGATTTACTGTTTAGTTCAATCAATTCAAAAGGTTTTAATTTAAAACTTGTAATAATTTATTCCACATTTTTAGTGATTGTAAGTTACTTTACTTACGCAACTTTTTGCGATCTATATCTATTCATGAACAGCTGATTTATGGGAAGGACTTACGACAAGAGTTTTTTTATGCTCAGTATTCCCGAAGCAATAGCTGATAAGTACGACACTCGTATAAATGAAGAAGCCGACGAAGACGCCGGAAGCGACGATTTCCGCGTCGGGATTCTTGTCCTCATTCAAGTTCCATGTTCCACCTACACCCAAAAACTCGCCGCCATATCCTGTACGGTATAGGATTATAATGATGAGGTTGAGAACCTGCAAATCGATTAATCTTAAGAATTTATCTATAAGCATCGCCCTTAAGAAATTTTTATAACGATGATACGGCAATATTCTCGAAATACTCTTTTTAAAACAAATCTTACTACAAACTTTTTTGATATTTTGAAAGTACTAAGTTTTAGAAAATGTGTGAAAATTAAAAGAAGATAAATAGATGATAAAAACTTATTTCTTATTTAATCTTGCGAGGGATTTTTACTTCAATGAAACAACTATTTGGTATGATAAAAAATTGTTGATTTAAAAGATTGAGACTTTCGAAAAAGAGTCTCAAAGAAAGGGACACCTATTATTATCATAGATATTTTCCGGAGCACCGCTAGTTACGCGCAAGCGTTACGGCAGCGTAGCGTATCGCTTGCTAAACAGCGTGTGTTATCGCGTACGGATACCGATAAGGACAGTTGAAATGATTCACACATATTGTAAGAATATTCACTGAATGAATGTAGTTACGATAATTTCTTAGCCCACGCCTTTTCATTGGTTTGTGATTTTTTTTTTGCTACAGAAATTGCTGACCGCAATGTCATGTTAACTGAGAATTGATTAATCATTACATGTACGCCAAACTTTGAAATTAAGTATGCTATACCGAAACTTTCTTAAATCAGTATGATATCATTCTATGATATTTCACTCACTTCTATCGATTTTAAATTATTACATTGTTACGTATATATTGTAAAAAAGAAATACACGCTTTTCCGTTTTATATCGTCAAAAAGAAGTTTATTAATTTTATGTCAAGAAATTTTTTTCAATTTTCTTCTTTATTCTGTTTTTAAGAAGTTATATTTCTATTAATGATTTAATGACGAATAAAAATTGATCGATCAATTTGAGATCAATTTTTTCTCTTAGTGAAAATTTAATAGATCTGATCTTTTTTTATAATTCTTACATTTTTGATCATTTGAAACTATATTTCGACATTCTAGATAAATTTACCCTAAATTGATCAAAAAATATCATAGTTACAGAGGACTTTGTGGCGCGCACTCTCTCTCTCTTTCTCTACACGTGTACACTTTTCACGCTTATAAAAATCAAAATATTATCTTCTCACCAACTTCAACACTTTGATCACTATACTCGCAATAGTCTGCAGGGACATCTTGCACACTCTTTCGCACTTGCCTTTCACCGTGAAAAACGAACGAACAATATCGGCGTCACAGGCTCTCTCGAAGTGGAGAACCAAGCCCTCTTTATCTAATCAGATGATACAGGGAATACGTTGAAATGGGGATAAGAATCGTAGAGGATAGTCGCACACATGCGTGATCTTATCAAGTGATAAACTGGGTGCATCGTAGTCATCGCAAAGCTATACCATTTTATGTTCATTAATCATGTTCATCGATGAAATAGCAGTGCGAATTTTTTCTAAAGAGTGTCGATCAGAAATGCTCACCGGCAATAAATTTTCAGGAGCTTGGCTTGGCCATCAAACCGGAGCAAATCGCTGAAATGGAGGCTCACGTGGATGATATCGACTTTGAAGCGGCCGCCAGGGAAGAAAAGGCGACGAGGCACGACGTGATGGCACACGTACATGTTTTTGGTGAACAATGTCCACGTGCTGCGCCCATCATCCACCTTGGTGCGACCAGTTGTTATGTGGGCGATAATACGGTATATTTGTTTATTCTGATATGACATCTACAATTGAAAACATCAAAGGAATACAATGTATGAAATTGTATTCCTTCATTCTTAATTCTCTTATAACAATTTAATTTAACTTGATTGTTATTTAATTAAAATTTAACTTTAAATTAATTTTAACTGTTGTAATTGTTATTGTAATTAAATCATTATATTATTTTTTCTTACTTGCAATTGAGTTTAATCGACTAATTTATTAATATCTTTTTCTTTTTAAAGGATCTCCTGATTCTCCGTCAAGGCTTCGATATTCTGCTTCCAAAATTAGGCTGCATAATTCAACGTCTCACGACATTCGCTTTAAAGAACCGTAATGTGCCTACTTTGGGTTTCACTCATCTTCAGCCTGCGCAGTTGACGACAGTTGGCAAAAGGGCCAGCTTGTGGCTGCAGGATTTGCTGATGGATGAAAGAGCCATCCGTCGCGCTAGGAACGATCTCAGATTTCGCGGAGTCAAGGGCACGACGGGCACTCAAGCATCTTTTCTTCAACTTTTTAACGGTTGTTTAACGAATATAATAATTGTGAGAATTAAA